TATTCCAGCAGGCTGGTGCTGTAAGGGTAGGTTACCTTGAGTTGCTGTAGCTGTAGCTTGGCAGTTAGATTTTGGTGCTCTTCTAGAAGAGGGATATAGCTCTGACTTATGGGGCATAGTCCTTCTGTGGGTCTGAATAGAAGACTGGGGTATTTAACAGGGCCTCTCCATGTGGCAGGCTGAGCTGTGCAGCACTGGGAGACTGCAAAATATGCTCAGTTCTTCTTTTTTTTTTTCCTGGTCACTCAGTCAAATTTATTGAAAAGACAAAGAGCACCCTTTCCCCACCATACTTGCTGTATCACCTTTATTATAAATCAGGTAATCTGTGTGGGACTCTTTCTGGGCCTACTGTCCAGAGTAGTCCAATAGAAATGTAATGCAAGCCACAAATGTGAGACATATGTGTACCTTTAAATTTTCTAGTAGCCACACTTAAAAATTAAAAAGAAACTGATGGAGTTTATTATAGTACATTTCAGTTCATCTAACATATATAAAAAACAAAAATATGTTTTGACTCAGGGTCTCATTATGTAGCCTAGGCTGGCTTGGAATTTGTAGTCCTCCTGCCTGAGCCTCCCAAATGCTGTAATAAAAATAAATTTTTTTGGTGGGTCTGGGATTTGAACTCAGAGCTTTGTGCTTTCAAAGCCAGTACTCTTATCACTTGAGCCATTTTGCTCTGCTTATTTTGGAGATGGGGTCTCATGAACTGTTTGCCTGGACTGACCTTGAATCACAGTCCTCCTGATCTCAGCCTCCCAAATAGCTAGGATTATAGCTCACATCTGTAAGCTGCTGGTGTCCAGCAACATAAAATTATTAATGAGACAGTTTACCTTTTTTCTGTAGTACTATGTCTTTGATACCAGTAATTCTACATTTGTTAGCACATCTCGATTCTTGACCTCTATTTAGATTTCCAAAAAATTCATAGTTGAAAAATTAGATTTACACACTTAAGTTAGTCCAAACCATAGTTAAAAGCTTTCCAGTAACTGAATTGCATCAGTGATCAGTTCTTGAACTTAAATTAAGTAACGTTTTAAAATTAGAAAATAAGTTTCTAAATTGCACTAGCCTTATGTCAGATGCTCACAATCACATGTGTCTGCTGGCTACCACATTGGACTGTGAAGCTTTGTTCAATCTTATTTTATTTATTTATTTATATCATATTGTTGTCCTATAAACTTTGTGACTAGCTTGAGGCATAGTTCTTATAGGAAATTGAGAATTCTAGAGTATGTGCTATATTATCTTTGTCAGCTTTTAGACTGAGTTGGTTCCCTAGCATTTTCTGAAGATGAGTAGTCTTTTTTGATATCATAATGAACTCAGATTTCATGATTAATGGTGACTCAGTGATGAGTTAATGATATTTAACTGATGGGCTTAAACAGTTTTTACATCCTTCACCCACTAGAAATGATTATATTTAATACTTTCTCTTGAGTTGCCTCAGTCTTAGCTAGAAGGAAATGCTTCAAGTTGCTTTCTAGGTTCTTTAGACACATCTTGGTTAGCTCTATGGCAAGTTACATGTTTCTAGCTCTCATAAAATCCTTTTACCAGCATATGTTTTTAGCATATCATGGTCTAAGTTCTGTTGGGATGGTCATGTTTAAATGTTTAGAGTTTTCAGTGGACAGGCCTTTTTTTCCCTCAGTACTGGGGATACTGAACTTTATGCTTGCTAGGCAGGTGCTCTTCCACTTGATCTACACAATCAGCCCATTTTACTTAACTTATTTTTGGGATAGGCTCTTGCTTTTTGTCTGGGCCAGTCCACAATCCTATTTATACTTTTCCATTGTAGCTGAATGGCAGGTGTACACCACTATTCCCAGCATTTTCTGTAGAGATGGGGCTCATGAACTTTTTGTCTGGGGTGGCTAATCCTCCTGATCTCAGCCTCCTCAGTAGTGAGGGAGTTTATAGGCATGAGGCACGGTGCCCCCTGCTTGGACACACTTTTTTTTTTGGATGCATTGGGGCTTGAACTCAGGGCCTCACACTTGGAAGGCAGGCACTCATAGCTGCTTGAGCCACTTCACCAGTCCTGTACACACTTTTTAAAGGGCAAGTACATTGTGAGTTCATGCTGCTGCTTATAAATTAAATTTAGGACATAAGGTTTTCACTCAGCCTTATTATTATTATTTTTTTTTGGCATGTGTCTTTCCTATGCCAAACATCTTCATTCCCGAAGACTTCTACTTATTTATCAATCATTATATCTAAAGTAGTTTGAGGATAATAACTGTATTATTAATGCTCTGATTACTTAGAAAAACTTGAGCTTACTTTGTATTTTTTTCTTTAGGTATTTTGCAAAAATTATAACAAAGTACCTTTAAATAATTTTTGTGTCAGTAAGCCATCAATTTGATACGTATTTGGGCTCAGTTGTTTTATTTTTGATTTATTTTTATAAAACTTCAATTCACTCTTACAGTATTCCTCTGGGGATGTGATCTATTTATTTTTAAACACTTTGTTGTGCAGTTGTAGATTCACAGCAAAATTGAGAGGAAGGTACAGAGAATTCCCATATATCTCCTGCTCCCCACATATGCACAGCTTCCCAGATTATCAACAACTCCCATTAGAGTGACACATTTGGTAGAGGTGATGAAATACCTTGCTGCATCCTTGTCACCTGAAGTCCATAGTTTACATTAGGGTTTTTTGTGGCTTGAATCTGGAATGTTCCCTAAAGGCTCATATGTTGAAGTTCATGTATTGGGAGGTGGTAGAAATTTTAGGGGTGGTGCCTAGTTGGAGGAAATAGGTCATGAAGGGCGTGGCCTTAAAGGGTATATTGGGACCTTAGCCCTTTCTTCCTTTTCTCTTTGCTTTTTAGCTGCCATTGAGGTGAGCGGCTTTCCTTTGCCACAGTTCTGTCTTGATACACTGCCTTGCCACAGTCCTGGAAGCAATGGGGCCAAGTGATTGTAGACTGAAACCATAAGGCAAAATAAATATTTCCTTCTTTTAAGTTGGTTATCTCAGGTATTTTGTCACAGTAGTAGAAAGCTGACTAACACAGGGTTCAGTCTCAGGGTTCAATACCATCAGGTATTCTGTGGGCTTAGAATTTATAATAGCATGTATCCACTAGGATATTTTACAATATTTTCACTGAAATCCTCTGTACTCTGCTGTTCATCCTTTTCTCTCCCTTAACTCCTGGCAATCACTAATTTTTCTTATCTTCATAGTTTTTCTAGAACATCTTATAGTTGGAATCATACAATAGCCTTTTCACATTTTGTTTCTTTCACTTGTAGTATGCATTTAAGTTTCTTGCAAGTTTGCATGGCTTGAGAGCTCATTTCTTTTTTGGTGGTGCTGGGGTTGGAACTCAGGGCCTTGTGCATGGCAGACAGGTACTCTACCACTGAGTTATAGCCCTAGTCCTGAGAGCTCATTTCTTTTTAGTGCTGAATAATATTCCAGTTTAGATATAATGTTTTATCAATTCACCTACTATAGGATTGCTTTCAGGTTATAAATAAAGCTGCTATAATGTGTGCAGGTTTTTGTGTGGATGTAGGTTTTCAACTTCTTTGAGTAAATACCAGGGAGCATGGTTGCTGGACTAGATGGCAGGAACGTGTTTGATTTTGTTAGAACATTGCCAAACTGTCTTCAAAAGTGATTGCACCATTTTTATATTTCTACCAGCAATGAATGAGTTCCCACTGCTTCCTGTCCTCAACAAAATCTAGATTCTGGCCATTCTTCTAACTGTATAGTGGTATATCATTGTTCTAAATTTGCATGCAGTATAATACAATCTTAAGTATCACCTTTGCAGAGGTGTCTATTAAGGTCTTTGGCCTTTTTTTTTTAATTGGTGCATTTGTGTTTTTGTATATTTTAGAGAACAGTCCTTTATCAGATGTGTTGTTTGCAGACTTTTTTCTATTTCCCTTCTTACTGTCTTGACAGCATTTGTAATAATAAGAAAATTAAAAATTTTAATGAAGTCTTGCTTATTAGCATTTCCATTTATAGATTATGACTTTGTTATATCTAAAATCAATTGACATTTATTTTGGTTTGTCTGCATTTTTTTCTTAATATAAACACAGATGGATCTGGCTATGCTTGTGTATGCATATATAATGTATATCTCCACCCTGATATAAGTACCAAATTATGTCCTATTCTGCTATTTGATTATTTACCTACTAATAGGTTCCAGACACAGCCATATGTGGATAAATTCCTCATTTCCTCTTTTACAGTTGCATGATACTTAATTGTATGTGTGCCCATTAGTTAATTCTGTGAGTTCCCTCATGATAGGTGTTAGTGTTGACTTTCATTTTTTGTTTTATAAATAATGGCATAAATCTTTTATTTATTTATTTTTTAAGTACTGGGGTTTGAACTCAGGGCTTTTTGCTTGCTAGGCAGGTGGGGGTGAGAGAGAGGAAAGAGAAAGAAATTTGAGAGATGTTCCACTATTAAAATTTCCTTTTTTAAAGAAGTGTGGATTTCAAAAGTTTCATTGTGACTTCTTAAAAATATTTTTTCTCTTGATTCTACAAGCACGCCTGCTACATTGGAACAGAACTACATAGTTTGTGAGCTGCACCAAAAAATTAGTGTGCTGTATTCCTTTTTGAGAAGCCACCTGAAGAAGAAGAGTATTGTATTTTTCTCCAGTTGCAAAGAGGTACCCATTGTTTGTTTATTTTTTGAACTTACTCATGTTGAATCATCTCCTTTTAGTGATCACATTTCAGTTAGATATGAGACATATTGCTAGGTGAGGGATATGTAGGTAAAAAGAATCCTGTGGTTTCTTTGAAAAAGAATCTGAGAATAAGACTTTTAAGTTCCATGAAGGTAGAAACTGTATTTCTTCAGTACTATGTTAGGTGCTAATAATACCAGAAACATAGCAGCCTCCAGTAAATACTGGTAGAAAGTACAGTTGTCACAGTTGTCAGCTAGGTTAAGCAGAGACCATCATAACATGATGCATCCCTCTTCTTCATGACTATGGGACTGAATACGCCTCTTTTTCCATGCCTGGTGTCTTTCTTTATGCTGATTTCTGTTTGGAATATTCTCCCTGCACCCCTCACACTAATTTTTGATAAATATGTTTTTCTTTTTTTTTTTTTTTTTTTTTTAAGGTAAGCTCACATGTTACTTGGAAGTCCTTTTCTCACTCTTTTCAGAATGAGTCGTTCTCTTTTCTATCCCTTTGTAATGTTTTGCTTATATTTTTATTTAGCTAATAAACTCTTTATGAGTTCTAGCTGTGTGCTGGAAATAGGAGATTCAGAGATGCATAAGAAAACTTGGTTTTGTCCCTTAAGGAGAAGGGCCTGTAGTTGATTTATATACCATTTTCCTCTATATTTCAGATTCCTGATGACATGTAGGCATATAGTAGGTAAATTTTAGATTTATAGGTTTTATAGTAGCTTATCATGATAAGTATGCAGGTGAGTTTCCCTCTAGCGTGTGGAAGGTAAGCGGTGGTCTTTTTCTATTGTCTACTGAGCCCTGTCATTTTATCATGTAGAGAATGGCTAGATCTTCTTTGGACCTCTTTCACATTTTCAAAATTTTTACCTATCTTAATGGAAAGAGTTGGTTTTAGTATCTATAGACTAGGAATCATTTTCAGAGTTATATATAAAGTTTCCACTTTCTAATATTTTGCTTTTGTTCTTGCCACAGTAGACAATTGTTCTTGATTGTGTTTATGACTGTGTTAGACTTTCATGACAGAATATCTGACATAAACAATTTAAGGGAGGAATTTATCATAGCTCATAGTTTGGAATATTTATTATAGTTCATAGTTTCACAGGGCTCAGTCTCATGGAGGAGAAGGTGTGGCATGCAAAGCAGTCATATCATGGTGGCCAAGAAGCAGAGAGAGAAAAAGAGAGAGACTGCACTGTGGGCTTTCTCTCCTTCCCTCTTTGTATTCAGTCCAGACTTATAGCCTGTGGGATGGTGTCACCCATGTTCAGGGAGGGTCTTCCCCCCCTTAGTTAATCATCTCACTGTTACAGACATACCCAGAAGTGTGCTTTGTTAGTTTCCTAGGCACTTCTCCGTCCAATCAAGTTGTTAATCAAGATTGACCTTCACTATGACCAACTCTTGTGTGTGCTCTAGTCCCTGTCCTGATCCACACAAGGCCTTTGCTAATGCACATATCCCCTTTCTTTCCTACTTTTTTTCTCCCTACCATTTTGAAATACTGCCCTTATTTAAGAATAAAAAGTGAGCCCCACATCCCTTTCCAGTCCCTGCTTTTTCTATTGCTCTTCACAGCAGTCTCTCTAGACTTTCCCTCTACTAGCCCAAATCACTTTCTTACCTCCTGTTCTCTCATTAGTTCTTCACTGAGTCAGTCCTGGGGAGATGCAGCTTTCTAGAGTCAGTGGTCACTTAATAGTCCTTATCTTATTTGACCTTTCAGAAACACTAGGTATAGCTGAACATTTCCTCTCTCTTGAAACACTTCTTTATACCTTTGTGCCTCATTAATCTCAATGCTTGTTAACCTGTTCTCCTTCACTTTGCTTTCTGAATTCCCTGTTTTAACTACCTTTGCTGAGTTTTCCTATTTTGACTACTGCAATTTGAAGTGACTCTGACTACTCTGCCTTTTTCTTTCCTTCTATGCTTTCTTTATTGGTAACCTAATGATTTTCATCCATATGCTGACAATTGTCAAGTTCACATCTGAAGCCCTGACTTCTTTCCTAAGCTCCAGATGTGCATCCCCTTGACTACTGGATATTTCCAATTGTGTCTAGAAGGCATCTCAAATTTGAGATTTATACTTGCTGAATGTCCTTATGTACTTTTTCCAAGACTAATGTCCTGAGACTGATTTGCCTGAGTTTACATTGGTGGTCTGCAGATTCTGCTTTCTCATGTGCCCCTTTATGGTAGCCCTTTCAATACCTTTATAATAAAGAGGCATGAGTCCATTTATACCTGATCTTACTGGTACATTGTCTCGGAATCAGAGACCATCCCTGGCATTATAGTATTGCTGTTGAGAAAGTGAGTGACTCTTATGATTGGGTAACAAGTCATTGTGCAATTTAGGTGGTTTCCCATTCTGGTCATCTTTCCTTGTGACTTTTGGCATATTTAATAGAAGTTCAAACAGATACTCTTAATACCAAGGTTAGAAATGATGCTGAACTTTCCCTCTGTCTGGCAGTCATAGTATCCATTTACATATTAATGAGAAATGAAAACATTTGTTAGCTCCTTCTAGGGTTGTACATGGAGATGTATTTACAGTAAAATTTATGTCTAACAGTTATTAAATCCTAATATTTGTTGCTTTGGTCAGTTCTGAGCTAATAATTTCTCAGTCTGAGAAGAGAATATAGTGTAAAGATGCAGAAAATGAAAGATAAAACTGACAGCATTTTCCTCGTGGAGTGGCTCAAGTGGTAAGAGTGTCTGCCTATCAAGTGTGAGGCCCTGAGTTCAAACTCCAGTATCTACACACACACACACACACACACACACACACACACACACACCGACAACATTTTGTTGTAGAAATTTATGATTTATAATGGTCAATAAAATAATTTTAATATGCAGTTCTGTGGGGTCAGGAAATAGAAATGAGAATTAAAGAAGGAAAGGAAATAAAACTTTCTGTTAAAGAGGAGTTTCTTCATGTATTTTTCACTTGGTTTGTGGATATCAAATACCTGCTATTTGTAAGAGAAAAGTGTTTATTTTAGAATGTCAGTTTTAGAGAAATTATATTATTGCAGCTATTTGAATATGAAGAGATTTCAGATACCAACTTAAAAATTAAGAACATTTTTCTTTTTTCAAAATTCTTTTAGGAGTATATGAATAAAAATGTTTGAAGATTATTACTCCAGAGTACATTTCTACTCCATATTGAAAAACTTTCAATTGGTGAAATTTGTGTATCTTAACACATTTTTGTTGCTCATCTTGTAAGCCTTATTGCTGTCATCCAGAGGCACCAAGCTTATCCTTCTGTTCACATCAGGTGCAGTACTTGTACAGAGTGTTCTGCAGGCTCCGTCCTGGTATTTCTATCCTTGCTCTTCATGGCCGACAACAGCAGATGAGAAGAATGGAAGTCTACAATGAGTTTGTCCGCAAGAGAGCTGCAGTACTCTTTGCTACTGATATTGCAGCCAGGGGGCTGGGTAAGCAAACTTTTGGGCTGAAATTTCTGTGATTGTGGGAAACATAATTTACTTAATAGGGTGTATTTTTTTTTTTTGGAAAATAATAGACTCAAGTAATTGGGCTGTCTTTTCTCTTGCAAGAGAGAAATTAGCAAATTGTTAACAGTTGACTAACATTAGGAACGTATCAGTGAAACATGCTGTAATATCTGCAACTTTTGTGTTCTTTTGTTTCATGATAATTGCCTTTCAGAATCTTGATGATCCTGTAGAATCATCAAAGGAGTATTAGAGGTTTAAAGCATGAAAAATTCTTGCATTGAAAACTGGAAACATGTTGAAATTGTAATTTATTTAATAAGAAATTTCAGAGAAGTCCAACTTTTTGCCAATCATTCTAATCTGTAATTTAAAACCACTACATTAAATGTATTCAAATTTTATTTTTAAAAAGCTGCTGTATTAAAATGTAGCTTGTGGCCTTGGGGGGTAGGATAAAGATAGAAATAATTAGGAAAGAGAACTAGTTTAGAGATTGGAACAAGAGATGAGAATATCTTGAATTCTTTATGATCACCTTGCTTTATTGTATTTGTTTATTATGTCAAATTTTAAGCAAACACAAACAATAGGTCCAATGTACTATCATATACATATTACTCCACTTTAATTATCTTTTTCATGATCCTCCTTGTCCTCCTTTCCCTTTTAGGTTATTCTAAAACATATCTCAGAACACCATACCACTTCTTCAGTGTGTGATTGGAGACAGTAGCTATCTATGCATGCATATTTTAAAGCTTTTAAAATTTTTTCTCAGTCCTACAACTCTCATCCCTAATCCCCACCATTCTTTAATTATATAATTTTGAAACATTTTGATTGTGCCTTTTTCTGTTTAGATCTGATGTTTAGTAGTTCAGGTCAACAAAAGCATATTTTATTTCTTGTAGTATTGGAGATTGAACTTAAAGCCTTGTGCTTAAGTGCTCTACCACTTGAGCTACTCCCCTGGCAACAACAAATGCACATTTTTGAAATTCTTTTATTGTTGGTTGACAGTTGGACACCTGCCTAACATTTTTTTCTTTTATTCATATGTGCATACAATGTTTGAGTCATTTCTCCCCCTTTCGTCCCACCCCCTCCCTTACCCTCTCACCCTCTCCCTCTCCCCCCCACCCCCTCACTACCAGGCAGAAACTATTTTGCCCTTATCTCTAATTTTGTTGTAGAGAGAGTATAAGCAATAATAGGAAGGACCAAGGGATTTTGCTAGTTGAGATAAGGATAGCTATACAGGGAATTGACTTGCATTGCTTTTCTGTACATTGTGTTACCTTCTAAATTAATTCTTCTCGAACTAACCTTTTCTCTAGTTCCTGGTCCCCTTCTCCTATTGGCCTCTGTTGCTTTAAAGTATCTGCATTAGTTTCTCTGCATTGAGGGCAACAAATGCTATCTAGTTTTTTGGGTGTCTTACTGATCCTCATACCTCCCTTGTGTGCTCTTGCTTTATTATGTGATCAAAGTCCAATCCCCTTGTTGTGTTTGCTCTTGATCTAATGCACATTTTAAAGTAAAGTTTATTCTTTTTAAGATTCCTATTCATTGCCAGGTGCCCAGGACTCATGCATGTAATCCTAGCTGGCCAAGGGTCAGAGATCAGCAGAATTGTGGTTCAAAGTCAGTTCCAGGCAAATAGTTTGTGAGAACCTATCTCAGAAACCCATCTTAAAACAGGGCTGGCAGAGTGGCTCAAGCAGTAGGAGTGCCTGCCTGGCAGGCATGATGTCCTGAGTTCAAACCCCAGTGCCAGAAAAAAAAAAAAAAAGATTCTTACTTGTTTAAAAAAAAAAAATTACAATTTGAAAGAAAAAAAACCACACGTACTGCATCTATTTCCAGTGAAAAGACAGTAATATTTAGTTATTTTTCTTGATTTTGTTAAAGAAATCAGTTAATCTAGGCAGGTTTTTTTTCTTCTTTTGGTGGTACTTCAGCCATGCCTCCAGCTCTAATGTAGTTCCTTCTGTGTCCTTTCTCTGTCTTGTTTTATTCCTTTCCCTCTACCAGACATAGTTACTCTTACATATTTGGGGTGTTACTTTTTTTTTTTTTACTTATTTAACTTTATTTTTTTATTGGCATATATGAATTAAACAAAGTGAGGGGTTTCATTGTGGTATTTCTATGTGCTCATGTAATGTACTTTGATCATATTTATCCCCTTTCTTACTCTTTCTTATTCCCCTTCTCCCAATCCCTTTAAACTTTTGTTATAAACTTTTGTATGGTTTTCATTGTAACCTTTTCACATGTACTACAAAGTACTTTGATCATACTCCCTTCTGCTCTTTTCCCTCTTCCTCTCACTGGTTCCCCAGTGGCTCTGTAGCGATTGTTTACTGTTGAAGGAGTGGAGTTGGTATACTGATGAGATTGTTTCCCTGCAAATAGTCCTCCATTTATGTTTGTCTCTTTGTTTTTTTGTAAGATCTAGATTCTGCCTGTGAGAGAAAATGTGGTATTTATCTGGCTTATTTTGCTTGACATGATCTGTAGTTCTATCCATTTTCCTACAAATGTCATCATTTGATTTTTTATGGCTGAATAATACTCCATCATATACACATACCATATTTTCTCTATTCACTTATCTGTTCATGGGTACCTAGGCTGACTTTATAACTTGGCTTTTCTGACTAGTGGTAGTACACATGGGTGTGTGCAGGTTTCTCTATTGTATGTTGTCTTTCTTTCCTTTTAGTTAAGGGTTCTTAACCTCTGATTCACAGAGCTTTATGGTGGAATTTAGCAGGTCTGTGAACTGCTAAATGGGGATGGGGAAAACATTCTGTATTCTCACTGGCATTTAACTGAGGTTTAGCATTATGAATATAAGCAACAAACTATCATAGTTTCAGTAGTACTTGCGATTTTGTTACAAGTTGAAATGTATCTTTCCAGAGACCTATCTTTCTCTTGGGTTTTTAAAAAAAAAAAATCTGTTCTCTCATAATTTCCTAAGAGTGTATGGTAGTTAAACTTCATGTCCTTCTGTGTTTGATAATAGCCTATTCTGAGTGATAATGGGAACAAGAATAGATTGCTAGGTTGAAATAGTTTTCTTTCAGAGTTTTGTAGATATTTTCCATTGTCTTTCTATAATCAGTTTTCTGTGGAAGATATTTGCCTTATTCCTTTTTGGTAACTCTTCTCTTTTTCTGGATATTCTTATATAATTTTCTATTTGTTCACATTGTACTGACACTTTATGAGGTCCCACTTGTGCAAGCATTCACTGTAGTTTTTCAGTCTAGACTGGCATTTCCATAGAATTTTCTGTGATTGTTGAAATGTTCTGGCTGCACTGTCCAGCAGTATATCTTTGTTGAGCAGGTGAATTGTGGCTGATAGAACTGAGGAAAGGTTGAACTTAATTGTATTTAATCTTAATTAAACTTGGATACTTAACATATTGAGCAGTGTAATAGAGTCACAGGTTATAGGAGGATTACCTTTGAATTGCTTCTTTGTGTTTTGGTTACTTCAGTATGTTTTAACTATGTACTGATTGCTTCCTTCCGAAAGAGTTAGGGTACTTAGATTCTTATACCCTGTCTTGGTTATTCTCAGTTATTTACTGTCTTGTTTCAAAATCTCTTCCTCCTCTTGTATACTCTTTTCATAAGACTATTTGATGTCTTTGATCTTCTGATTTTCTTGTTTTTTCTCTCCCATTATCCATCTTTCTCTTTTTCTTTCTGGATGATTTGTTAAAACTTAAAGTTTTAAAGTTCTAAGATCTCTTTTCATCCTCTTGGTGTTTGATAGGTACAGTGTTCTTTTTGCAAAGGCAAGAATTTTTTTTTTTAGATTCTCTTCTTGCCATTGTTTCTGTTTCTGCTGTTTATCATTTGTCTTTCATGTTTGAGACTCAGTTGTCTGCAATTGGATGTCTTTTTATACTTATTAGTAAGGCACCAAAAGCCTTTTTGAAGTTTGTTAACTAGTGGCTGTCAGTGTGAGGGGATTTGGACAAAGTTGATCATTTTGTGAAGGGCTCAAAATGTTCTTTTTGTACTTTTAATCTCTCCAGAGGGGAGAACCTGATTGTGATGAGAATTAAGCTTGCTGCTGGCTCTGAGGAAGCCTAGCAAGGAATTCAGCATCAGACCTCCCAGGCAGCATGCAAACTTTCCCTCAGTGTACCTGTTTTCCATTGGCTCTGGTGCTCCTGCCTTCTGGAGTATCTGCTTTCCTGGGCTCTGAAGCCTTTCTCCAGCATAAGACTGTTGGACCCAGCTGTACAGAACAGGGAGGGGATCTGAGTTCCAAGTGCTATTTTCAACCTACTTACAGCCCTGCTACATGTCCTGACTTCTGAGGTCCTGAGCAAGAATTCTTCTCAATTATTTTTTTCTTGACTTTCTCCCATATTGAAATTCTACCCTTTTGAGTAGATTTTTTTGATTTATTGATATTTATAAGAGTCAAAACTATAACTGTCTTCCAACACAATTTTCTTCTTTTTCTTTTTGGTGGTACTGTTGTTTGAATTCAGGGCTTCTCACTTGCTAGGCAGGTGCTCTACCACTTGAACCAAATCCCCAGCCCTTTTGGGTTTAGTTATTTATTTGGGTAGGGTATTGCTTTTTGCCTGGGCAAGCCTGGGACCATGAACTTCCTATCTATGCCTCCCATGTAGCTGGAATTACAGATATGTACCACCATGCCCAGTTTTTTTGTTAACTTTTTGCTCTTGCTGTCCTCAAACCATGATCCTCCTGAGCGTCAGTGCTTGAGCAGCTAGTATTACAGGCAGGAGCCAATACCTACATCCTTTCATCTTTTTTGTGCTCAGCCCTTTTTCGTGATGGTGATTGATCTGAAATCCACAGCAAAACCCATAATGACTAGAGGTAGTTCTCTTAAGAAGTTAAGAACAGAATTCTCTGGAAAGGAGTGAAGGTTGCTATAGCCTTAAATATATAGGGAACAATTATTGCTAGGAAGCAAGGAAAAGGACCTAGAAAGACTTCACTAATTCACCTGGAGGTAGGACTAGCAGGAAAAGTAAACCTTCACTTAAATTCAGAAACCCATTTTATAGTTCACTGGGACCTGTGACGAGTGTTCTTTTAGGTTATCAAACATCAGGGTATTTTATTATTTGTCTGTCTGTTCTGTGTCAGATGTGAAGAAATCTTCACATTCAGACACTCATTAATTTTAGTTCACTTTGACCAAGTACAGAAATGTTTAGCATTTCTTGATTCATGCAGTTACTACTTTCAATTAAGTTCACAGTTGATAGCTCTTAAGTTTCATGTGATGGAAAGTCTTGGTAAGCAATATTGTGAAATAAAAACTGTGTAGCAGAGCAGATCTCGAACTGATTTCTTTCTTGCCATTACTTCTGTATAGATTTTCCAGCTGTGAATTGGGTTCTTCAATTTGATTGTCCAGAAGATGCCAACACTTATATTCACAGAGCAGGTAGAACTGCCAGGTAGGTGTGCTGGCCCATCTTTTTGCTTTCATTTAACTGGAGATAAACAAAAGGAGAGAATTAGGAAGTCAAATGCTCGTCTTTTTTTTGTTTTTTTTTTTTAATTTGTAGAAATTGTAACGGTTAACAGCTCTCTGGATAGCATGTAGTAATACTTATCAAAAGCCTCAGTATTTCCTTTTGATTTAATAATTCTGTATCCAGAAATTTATCTTAAGAAAATAGGAGATGAATAAAATTTCAGTAAAGATGTTTGTGATGCTGATATTTATAATAGCTAAGAATTGTAAATAACCTAAATATTAATCATAATAAAGTTACATTTAATTCTGATTAGCCACAGATGAACTATTTCTTCAGTTTTAAATTTTCTTCTCATTTTCCTTGTCATCAAAACTGATTTGTGCTAGTATGGATTTTGGAGTTGGTCTAACTGGACTAGCAATTGCTTCAGATTTCAAGCCTTGAACTTTTAAGGCTTTTATAGGGATTATCTAAGCAAAAAAGACTACCAACTCGGCAGGCCTTGCCTCCCCCTGCCCCACCTTGTGCCCACTTCAGGTATGAAAATATTCTCTATTGCTTATCTAGGAAGTCCGTTTGGGGTTTCCTTCCCAGGGAAAAAAATACGTTTTTTTGTATGTGGTGACATTTATTTGTTTGAGCTAAAGTGAAGGTTTTTCATGTTCTTCTATAGCCTAGCAAGAAGTGGAGCTCTTCTTTCCCTATTTAGTAATTTTTGTCAAATGTTTGAGTGTCTAAATATTTTTTGATTTGTATTTACCCCATCAAAATATACTCTGATATGTTCCTTTTGAGCACCATAAAAGAGTGGAAATAATAGTACAGCAGTAAAGGACTATTTTTAAAATAGAGTTTTGTGTACTAGACAGTTCAAAAGTAAGTCTTTTTTTGTCTGTTTTTTTTCCTGGCCAGTGTGGGCGTTTCAAACTCAGGGTTCTTGTTGCTTGCTAGGGAGGTACTCTGGCCTCTTTGAGTCATGCTTTTATCCCCAAAAGTAAGTCTTTCAATGGAAATTAATAACATATTTTGAACATGTATTGAGAGTTGGGACTGTGTTCTGTGTAAAATGTCATTGTGTACTCACACTATTCTTTATTTTTTTATTTTTTATTTTTTTCATTTTTCTTTTATTATTCATATGTGCATACAAGGCTTGGTTCATTTCTCCCCACTGCCCCCACCCCCTCCCTTACCACCCACTCCCCCCTCCCCCCCCCTCAATACCCAGCAGAAACTATTTTGCCCTTATTCTAATTTTGTTGTAGAGAGAGTATAAGCAATAATAGGAAGGAACAAGGGTTTTTGCTGGTTGAGATAAGGATAGCTATACAGGGCATTGACTCACATTGATTTCCTGTGCGTGGGTGTTACCTTCTAGGTTAATTCTTTTTGATCTAACCTTTTCTCTAGTACCTGTTCCCCTTTTCCTATTGGCCTCAGTTGCTTTAAGGTATCTGCTTTAGTTTCTCTGCGTTAAGGGCAACAAATGCTAGCTAGTTTTTTAGGTGTCTTACCTATCCTCACCCTCCCTTGTGTGCTCTCGCTTTTATCATGTGCTCATAGTCCAATCCCCTTGTTGTTTGCCCTTGATCTAATGTCCACATATGAGGGAGAACATACGATTTTTGGTTTTGGCCAGGCTAACCTCACTCAGAATGATGTTCTCCAATTCCATCCATTTACCAGCGAATGATAACATTTCGTTCTTCTTCATGGCTGCATAAAATTCCATTGTGTATAGATACCACATTTTCTTAATCCATTCGTCAGTGGTGGGGCATCTTGGCTGTTTCCATAACTTGGCTATTGTGAATAGTGCCGCAATAAACATGGGTGTGCAGGTGCCTCTGGAAGTAACAGTCTTTTGGGTATATCCCCAAGAGTGGTATTGCTGGATCAAATGGTAGATAATGTAGCTTTTTAAGTAGCCTCCAAATTTTTTCCAGAGTGGTTGTACTAGTCTACATTCCCACCAACAGTGTAAGAGGGTTCCTTTTTCCCCGCATCCTCGCCAACACCTGTTGTTGGTGGTGTTGCTGATGATGGCTATTCTAACAGGGGTGAGGTGGAATCTTAGCGCTCACACTATTCTTTAGAAATTTATTTTCTCATGAGATTTATGAAAAATGGTTCTGCTTTCCATTTTAAGAAGATGCCTGGTATCTCACTGATCTCTTAATGTGTTTAGTATATATTTGGACTATTGTTCAGAGTGAAATCTTCTAAGAAATCATTAGTGGTGGGTGCTGGAACAAATCTTTCCCCCCATGGTTTAATTTCTCTCAGTAAGCATTTAGTATGTGTAAATTTATATATGTATTGACACAAATCTGCAGGACCACACATTTTGTGGTTCTGTTTGTCTTTGGATAGGCAAGGTTGGATTTTGTATCTGACAAATATGTTAGACCAGAGGATTCTTACAACCCTTTTATATGTGGTCATGGACAGGGCAGACTGATTTCCTCACACAGTATTGTTTAGCAGTATTTAAAAATCTCCTTATA